TCTATTTTATTACAAAAAATGGCTCATATATATCCTTTTCATATAATAGAAGTGAAAAAATTAATTTTAATTTTTTTTTATTATTTTAATTATAAAAAATCCATGTAGGGGTATATTTGATCTTTTTTCACACATGAATTATTTTTTCGACTTATTTAATTAACATTTTTTGAGTTTCTTATTCATATTTCTTTGTTTTTTCTTTCACTTTAGTGTAAAACTAAAAGAAATCAAAAGAAAGAAGTGTGAATGGAAAACGTGAAAAAAATAAGTAATTTTTTTGTGGCTATTTTGTAGTTTGAATTTTTTTTTTGCGCTTATATTGTAATTTAGTTTTTGTATCTATGATAAATTCTACAATAAAATTAGTGAAAAAATAAATTTGACTGTTAAAATAATAAATCCAAATTAACCATTGAATAAAAAAAGTTAAAAAAATATGAGAAGATCAAATATACCTTACATGAATTTATTTTTTTAATATTAATTTTTGCATTCCTTAGAGAATAAGAGTATATGTGACTCATTTGTATGACATTATACAATCACTTTCATAACGAAGTGTATATCAACTCTTATCGCAAAGTTAAAGGGTATATTCGGTTGTTTTCTCTACAATTTTAGATTGTATTCCAATTTTCCTAAATTCAATATTCATCCTACTAGTGTTGGAGAGTTTTGTTGTTCATTCAACGTCACATTTCATAGAAATATCGTTGATAAAGTAAAAATCTCATACGATCAAATCTGTCATAATAAATGTTTATTTTACTGAAATATTTGGATCTAATTCATGATAAGTAGATCATAACAAGTGTCTTCTAAACCAAATTTCACCAATATCCTTTTTTTAGGGCCAGTATTTAATTTATCTTTTTTAAGAAATTTCCAAAATTTAATTTCCATTGGACAAAAGAACCTAAACTCACAAGAGAACTTAAAACACAGAGATCAACATTGGCAAAGCATAAAGTACAAGTGAAGCTACATCTAAACAACATCCTGGTAAATATAGTGATCAATATATATGATTCTAATTCAAGCTAAAGGGTTTCAAACTCCAGTTGATCCAAAGCCTCCAGAGCCTCTAACTGTGGAGTCTAGATCGTCAACCTCCTCAACTTCTGGCACGATGATTTTCTCAATGATCAATTGAGCTATTCTGTCACCAATTTTCACTTCAAAATCAACATTAGAATGGTTGAAAAGTATAACTCCAACTGGTCCCCTGTAGTCAGCATCGATCACACCTGCCCCAACGTCTACAGAATGCTTCCAGGTCAATCCTGATCTTGGAGCTATAAAAATTAACATATCTTCATCGAATTAGCCCCTAATATTCACAATCAAATTTCAAATATCCAACTTATCACAAAATTACTGGGTTAGGACTACAAGGTTGTATTAGACTAAAATGATTCAAACATGTAAAAAGGAGATGCATAAATGTTCTAGTGAGAAGGTGTAAGAAGTTGACTACAGCGGGTCAGGAGTTTGCTTATGTGTGACTCAAATTCGTAACCTTGGGTTGAGAGTGAGGTGTTTAACATCGGAGCAAATTATTTCAGTTATTGTACTATATCATTTCTAAAGTATGACTTTCTTTGTCAAATTGTAGCAATCATCTTCTACTCAAAGTGTGTTTGGGATGATGGAAGTGAAAAAAGGGGCAAGAATATACCTATGCGGGCATATGTTCCTTCAGGAACGGCAATACTAAGATCTGTAGGTACTAGAGCCTTTCCCCTGGCAGGCACTTTCGTCTCCGTTGCACTGCACCAAAAACAGAAGAAAAGAACTCAGATCCCCAAAATTGAGTTAATCAAACACATACAAAATTTAGGGAAAAGATCTATTTAGTGAAGTCTAAATTATTATTTTTTTTAAAAAGGGGCAAACCTGGAGAGATCATAACCAGCAGAGAGAGGAGAACCTCTAGAGGGCAAAACAGCGTTATCAGAGAGCTTTTTGACGCGGAAGAAGAGAGCAGAGGAAGCTATGCCATTTGCAGCCATTTTTATTTTTTTGAAGTAGAGAAGCTTCGGAAGGAGAAATTGTAAGAGCGGCGTAACAAGGGTTTCAAGCTTGTGGAAAAAAATTTGGAGGTTATTACCTCCAGAAAATGCAGAATAGCGCCAAAAATTCCCGCCATTCTTTTGTATGTGTTTATCCATTTACAAAAGAAACGTGTTATCCATTTCTTAGGGTATTGTCAGAATTTTTTAAAATCATATTTGAGTTTTATTTTTTTCTTAAAAGAAATTAAAATTTTATCTTATAATTATTTTTATTTTTTCTAAAAAGAAAATATGATTATCTTTTATATTTAGTTATTTTTTTCGTAGATGAAAAATTTGAAATTCTATTGTATGTTAAAAACCTCTCTTCTCATACCAAAAAGACAATAACATCCACAGTGTGGGAAATTTTCTCTCAATAGTTTTATATTATTTTTTATATTAGGTTTTCATATGTAGGTCAATTGACCAAATCATATGCATTTTAGTATAGTTTATTTGTCATATGATTTGCAATTATAAGTTTTCGCATGACGTTATGATTACTCTCGAATCCAACATAGATTATGTTTGAAAGTAATTACAGCGTCATGCGGAATTCAAGCAGATGACATGCGAAAACTTATAATTGTAAATCATAGAAGCGATAAATTAGATGACAAAGTAAAACATACTTAAAAACATATTATTATAAGATTCGGGCCAAGCAACCTACATACGGGGGGCGGAACCACCTTGTCCCCAGGGTATCCAATTGGAAACCCTTCGTCGAAAAATTATACTATATATACACGTAAAGTTTTGACTTATATTGATATATATGGTATTTTGGACACCTTGAAATACCAAAGTAACATGTAGTGCAGATGGCTAGGGTTGTTGCAAACCCACTCGTTGCCCTAGTTTGATTCCTGTAATTATTTTGTCATCTTGAGGTTAGTAAGTAAATAAACATGCATAAGTTTAACATAAATGTTCAGTAGCTTAGTATAAATATTGTTAAGCTTGTTATGAGTGACCCAAGTTCAAATCTCACCTCCAATAAAGATTTTTTTCAATTAAAATTGAATTATTTCCTTAAATTTTAATACCTTTTCCTTGTGGAATAAGATTTCCTTAAATTTAATACATTTTCCTTTTGGAATAAGGTTTTTTTTCTCTATAAATAGGAGACCCATTTACCCAAATTATATCACAATATTATTAAAAATAGAATCTCTATAAATCACCGTTTTAAAAAAAAAAATTACTATTCAAAGTTTGGACCCCCTTCATAAAATTCCTGGCTACGCCACTGCTTACATATTATAAAAACTAATATTGAAAAAGCATGAACGTGTGGGAGAAAATCCCCCTCTAAGACTCTCTAAACGACAACATTGTGGATGTTCTTATGTTATGCTAAGTGTCCGTTTGGATGGACTTTTAAATTGGTCAAACTGAGTTTTTGACTTATGAGAGTGTTTGACAATTACAAGAACAACTTAAAATAAGTCAAAAATTAAAAGTAGGGTGACCCCTACTTTTTTTTTAAAACTTAAAAGTCATTCTACTTTGACCAAGTATATTATTTTTTTACCCTTAATTCTTTTAAACAATTCCCAAATTCTTTCATGTGATCTATTCAAATTATATATTTTTTAAATTTAAAATAAGTTGCACATTTAAAATTAACTTATTGAAATTGAATTAAAATATAAATTAATTTTGTTTTAATTTTTCTTAGAAATAAAAACCTTAGATTAATCAACTTTTTATTATGTCAACAATTTTAAGGGTATTTCAAACATTTTGATAAAAAAAATGTTTAACAACATTTATTTGCCAAACACATCAACAACTTTTTTTCAACTGCAACACTTTTATTTAAACACATAACTACTTATTTTTAAAATAACTTGCAGCACTTTAAAAAGTTACTTTTAAAAGTTATTTTTTTTAAGTCAATCCAAACGGGCTCTAAGAGAAGAGAATCTTCAATTTATAGAACTCCAAGTTTTTCCTTTAAGGAAAGAATAACTAAATATAAAAAAGAATTATATTTTACTTTTAGGAAAAGTAAAAATATTATTTTATTACTTTGACTTTCCTTCTTTAAAAAAAAGTAAAACTCAAATATAGTAAAAATCAGAACAAAATTCTAACAATATAATTATGTCAATAACTTTTTACAGAGATGTATATTTAACTTGTTGATGCAACATATCGTTATTTGAGTTTAGACTGATATGAGGCTTGAGGATGTTTAATTTGAACTTGAGTAATAGAAATATGAATGTTGGATGTCTTGAGTGTTGAAAAAGACATGGGTGTTGCCACCGAAAATAACAAGCATGTTGTTCAAATTTCATTGGCAATTTTAACCTATTTTGACAATATGATAGATTTGACTCAAAATTATTAACAAAATATAAATTTAAACCATATTCCAAGAGTTCAAGGGTAATTTTACAGTTTTTTTGCGTTTATTGAAAATGTCAGTTATCCTCATTAGTACTTGGCATAACTATTCTTTAAAATAATACATGTTTCACATAATTTCATTTCTCTATGAAATTTAAATTTATTTAAGCCGCAACTTTTTTTGGTCAAATTTATTTCTTTTAATTATAATTGATCACAGAAAAAATGATATTTATTTGTTTATAATCAAACACATGATTTGTATCAAATATTTAAAACACTAAAAAGTTTTCCCTTTCAACAAAAGAAAAAGTCACAAAATTAAGAATAGTTTCCAATAATTTAAGGCCTTTGAATATCCACCAAAATAGTTCTAATCAAATTCTATTCCAAACACGTGTTTAGCTTTCAAACTTTCCTCTTTTATCGACATTTATTATGCATGGAAAGTGGACACTATTTTCTCCATTCAAACTTATAACACCATATACAAGAGGGAGAATGTTATTACTTTTAATTTCCTTTCTAAATAAATATTAATTTCTATAGTTGAAATCTTGATTTTTTGAGATATTAAAAATGAGCCAAGAACAACCAAGGAGGGAAGAAGCTGAGCAAGAGCATGAGTCCATTAAACCTGAAGAGAATGTGAAAGATGTTCAAGAATCATCACTTGCTAGAAAGAAAGCTGCTGCTGAATCTATTGGTGGACAGGTTCTAAACTATATTTTTTCTATACTAGTTCTCGAACAGTGCGTTGCAAATATATTCTATGTTAATTAGTACAATTTAAAAAAAATAATAATTAAAGAAGGGAATGAAGAGATTGAGCAGATGCAAGGATTTCAAAAAATGACCAAGCAAAATAAGTCACATAATATAAAACAAAGTCTGAAGATTGGAAACGCAAGCAATGAACAACAAAGAACAAAATTCATGAAGAGCAAAACAAAGGTGAAACTAATATATAAAAAGAATATACCTTTGTTGTAGAAAGTGCTAAGAATACAACAAATATTGAATATTTTAAAAAAGAAAGCATATAATAATAGAGTAACTTTCACATATAGCAAACACAAAAATCATATTTGATTATAGCTATAGTTTGCATAATTGCGCTCCATAACAAACTTTGTTATGCTATTTCGCTATACATATATACAAAAGGCAGTGGCTATTTTGCTATACATATATACAAAAGAAACAATTGTATAATTCGCTGGCTCCTCTTCAGATTTGTATAATTTCGCTAGCAGGCCATTTGTATAAATTGTTGCCAGCCTCTCGTTTGTATAAATCGTTGGCATCCTCTCAATTCAATTTTATGTGTTTGTATATCTGTATAAAATTTGAATTTGTATACAATTGAATCGAAATAAAACGTTTGTATATCAAATATCGCTCTCTCTCTCGCTTTATACAAACATAAATTATACATTGTATTTTGTATAATATGTGTTTGTATAAAGCGAGAAAGAGAGAAAGACAAAAGAAAACCGAGCAGATGAATATTTGTATTGTATAATTATAAGTGTATAGGACGAAGATATATGTTTTTGCATGTGTATATACAATTTTCTCTCGCTTTATACAAACAGAAACACAATTTATACATTTTTGTTTGTATAAAGTGAGAGAGGCGAGGGAGAGAGTGGCGAGCGAGAGTTTAAGGGAGAGAGGCAACTGACAACAATTTGCTACGGAGCACAATTAAATCAAACTGTAGTTATAACATTTAATTTGAATTAATAGTTTGCCATTATATACAATTTTTCCTAAAACTATTGATTTTATAGAAGGTAAAATAATATAAAAAGTTCTTTTAACGGATGGAAGCTAAAAAGAAATAGAAAATAATATTAATTTAAGATGATAATTATGTGTGAGTTAAAGGCACAAGATTAATGAGTATTATAATATAAGCTATGAAAATGAAGAGGTGTAATTATGGAGTTGATGTTAAATGAAAAAAGTAATTTTTAAAAATGATTTTAAGAAAATCAATTACTGTTGTAGATAAAGGGTATTTTCGTAATTTAACTTTTGACTTAGATTGTTCTCACTTTTAACAACACATATATATTTATAAAATTTCTCATATATGTCATTTTGTAAAGCATGCGCGTACATATTTGTGTTTTAGAGAAAATGAGTAAACATAACACTTATTTGAATTGAACAATAATAGGACGATTCTATAAAGATTTCTTTGATATTTTTAGATCTCTAGTGAAACAGACGTTAACTATAACTTTTCAGGGTGCTAGCTAGCTAGTCAAATGTTGATTGAAAGGAATTCTTCTTCTTGCTCTTTAGGTGATATTTCATCAAACTGGGTACATATCAATGTAACTATCCAAGGGAGAAATGAAATTAATAAATTTCTGTTGATCCGTATTCTTTTAATAAATTGACATACATTTGTTTTCATTAGTATCCTTTTAATACATAGGTATACATTGGTCTGGATTCAACTATCAAAATTGTATACATTTATTTAAATCGAAATTGGGATCCATTGGTCTGTATTCACCTAACAAATCTATATACATTTGTTTAAATTGAGATTGGTAGCCAATGATCCCGTATTCATCTAATAAATAGGTATACATTTGTTTGCATTACAATTTTTATAAAGATGAATCAACATTTTTCTTACTCTTGTGTAAAACGTGACCTCTACTTGAAGGTACATGAAAAAGACAGAAAACAAGTAAGCTCAGAATCAGTCTCAGGAAGAGCAAACATTACCATTGGTGAAGCCCTTGAAGCCACTGTTGTGACAGCTGGAAGCAGGCCGGTTGATTACAGTGACGCGGCAGCCATACAGGCAGCAGAAGTGAGAGCCACTGGACGTACCAACATCATCCCTGGTGGAGTTGCTGCTGCTGCTCAATCAGCTGCTACTCGCAATGCTAGACTTACCAAAGAGGAGGAAAAAACTAAACTGGCTGAAATCCTCGCGGTAAGATAACAACCTAAAAACTGTCAGGTGTACATAAGTTAAATCATACGTACGTATAACTAAGACAATACATTGGTGTTTGGCAGGAAGCAAGTTCAAAGTTACCGTCAGATAAGCCAGTGACACGCAAAGATGCAGAGGGAGTGATTGGTGCAGAACTGAGGAATGATCCAAACTTGTGCACCCGTCCTGGTGGTGTTGCTGCTTCTATTGCTGCTGCTGCAAGGCTCAACCAAACTAACAGTACTTCTAGCACAAAGAATAACGATAACAATCTCAAACAAAAACAAAACTAGGATGAGAGTAAACTACTGTTATATCTAATCCTTCAAACCTGTCCTGTCTCTCAGCTCCGCCTCTTTAAATCTTTCTCTTCTTGTTTTCTTTTTCTCTTTTGAAGACATTAACACAATATTTTGTCCTTCCCCATAGTAGCTTTTGCGCGAGGGATTGTTACAAGCCTTAACTATTGAGGCTTAGCTTATTGGAGTACCTAGTTATCTGTAGTGAATAATACTCAGAACCTGTGTAGTGAGTTTCTTTTCCCTTCCCAGATTTGTGCAAGGGTTCAAGAGTATTGCAAGAATATGTACCTTTTCATTACTGACTCTTGTGCATATTCGGGAAGTTTGAGATGCTGTTCCATTAAGATGACATAATGTATGCTTTACACTGTACATGAGTAATTTCTTGAATTTGCTTCAATCTAGTTCCAAGCATTTGCAGTATATCTTCGGAATGACTTGCAAAATGGTGCAAGTTCTCATTAGTCTCTCTCATTTCCTCTCTACATACTTCCAGATTCTTAAGAGTCCAAATATATGTGTAAGCGAGAGAAAGAGTAATATGAATAGTAGCTGGTTTGACAATTAAAACTCGTGAAGTATCAGAACGTAAAGTAAACGCCTGCCTGTTTGCTGATGGAAGCCTGTCTCCATAAATATGCCATTGGGAAATAGTTTTTCTTTATATTATTCAAATGGTAAGAATATTTGTATTCGTTAACCAATTTAGGAGCTTACAATTCAGTTGTTTTTACTATTTTAGCTCAAGTTACAGCATATATCTTCCTCAAATATCCTATCTCTCTGTCCAAAGAAGCATAAAGTTACTCAAAAGTCATGTTTTCCACCTCTTCTCGAATGGAATCAAACAGCACGGTGGAAAGATAACGCTCTCCAGAACTAGCGAATATAATCTGCATAGAGAATTATAACAGAGAATTTTAGTCCAGTGTTCAAATGTTTTAAGGAGACATGAGAGAAAGAGTGTTATCAGCTTACTGGATAGATCTACTTACCACAATAAGTTTCCCAGCATTTTCTGGTCTTTTTGCCACTTTTACTGCTGCAGCCCCTGATGATATTCCTACCTGAAAATATTCCAAAAGAAAAAGTAAGTATAGATTAGCCGTGATGACATAATAAGAACACACATCACAAATGAAGCGGTAGACAGACAATCTGCGGACTCGAAAGTGATCTTTACTGACCGATGAACTTACCAGCAGGCCTTCTTTCAGTGCAAGAAGCTTTGCCATTTCAATAGCTTCATCACTAGATACCTGAACATTATATAAAAACAGAAGCTGATATCATACCAGGAAAAACTTATACACACTGAACAAAAACTTAAATGTTTATAATCTGACAACAACTGATATGGTATACAGCCTTACTTGAAGAACTTCATCCAGGATGCTGAGATCGAGAACATGTGGGATTAAACCAGGACCAATTCCTTGGATTTTATGCGGCCCTTTAACGGTAACATTTAATTACACATATCAGTCTATGATACATTCACAGAATGTAGTGATGAAAACACAGTATGAGAGATAAGCTGGAAAAACTCTATTGATGGGACAGCTTGAAGGGGGGAAGAAACTTGACTGACCTAGTTGTCCTCCATTTAGAAATGCATTTTCGGCTGGTTCTATACCATATACCTGATTTCCCCACAAGACAAAGGAATAAGAAATAAGAACTATTCCACTTATCACTCACAAATAACCTAACCTTTATATCTGGATTCTTTTCCTTGAGAAACTTTCCAGTTCCTGCCACTGTGCCTCCAGTCCCTATCCCAGCAATAAAAATGTCAACTTTTGATACTTGAGCATGGTTGCATTATCTCCAATTTGGGCAGCACAACCTTCCGCGATTTTGTTCAGATATACCATAGGGGTGCTTCCAACAAGCTACATTGTGAAGACAACAAAATGAGTTGATGCTTAAAATAAAAGATGAATGCTAAGAGTACCAAGAAAGATCTCAGAAAGGTAACTACTTCCGTGACATCTTTCGCGATCTCCCTCCTTTCTTCCATACTGACTTGCTGGCTTACTGCAATAATGAGAAACAAGAGCTAGTTAAGAAAAGAGCTATGCATAGTTGATAATAAGAAATTAGAAGATAACCTATGTAACCTACTACACTCTCATGGAAGTGAAATTACAATGTATATATATGATGAGCCAGATAAGAAACGCATTATATATATATATATATATATATATATCAACCATACAGGAAAAAACTTGCTCGATCTTCGACACTTTCTAAGAATGTTAAAGATATGACGCTAGGCCTAACTCAACCCAGAAGCTAAATCTTGAAGGGGTGATTGCCCAAGTACTATCAGTTCACAACAATTACTTTAGGAGCTGTCAACTGCCACAAATGAACAGACATCATCTGGTAATTGCTTATACTTAAATTTTAAAGGATGGTCATTTTGAGATGATCATAAGTGGGTTGTTACTGTTGTTGATTAAATCACTTTACAGAGTTACAAAGAAAGATAAGTCCCTCTAAAAAAGAATGTCATTTATTTTTCACCTAACATGTTTAAGATGATAAAATTGAAATATTTTTTTGATATATTTTTAATTTATGATCTTAAAATTCAAAAATCTTTTTTATTTTCTTAAATTTTGTATCAAGTCAAAATCGAACAAACAAATTAAAACGAGTCCGTAATCAAAACTTGTTTTTAACTAAAATGCACATAGGGACAATTTTTTTTTCAATAACTTGCTCATGGTTGTTTTGTCTTCTTTGTTTTTTCGTTTGGCAAGTAGTCGCTCATAATCGGGCGATTTCCTCTCCTTTTTAGATGTAAGTCGTTGTCAATGATTGTAGTAAAATAATTACTCATGCTTATTTTATTAATTAATTAATTCTTTTGTTTGTGTTAAAAGACAATTTTTATTTATTCAAATTCTTAATATAAAGTCTAACGTAAAATAAAATAAAGAATTTATTGTGTAAAAATGAAGGGTAAAATTCTTATTCTTAAAATAATATAATAAAAAAATTGTTCTTTATTTTTATACAATAATTTCGTTATTTTATTTTGTGTTTTGTACACTATTATATTATGTTTCAATTTGAGGAATATTTTTAGTTTATTTGGATTGATTATTTTAATTATATTAAAATCATGATGTTAAAATTTAATTATATCAATATTTATTGATTTTTTATTTAATTTTTAATAAATAGCATATAATAATAAAAAAATATTTATGTGTTTAATTTTCTTATCACTTATAGATAATAACTAGTAAATCTAAAAAAATCGAACTTCAATATAGATATAGACACCAAGTGAGAAAAAAAGAAACCTAGTAGATGAATATGAAAGAGAGAATCGGATAAATAAACAAAAGAATTCTGGGTGCAACAATAAGTTTGAGAAAATTGCAAAATAGAGGAACATGAAACGATGTAGAAAACTTCCTACGGTCATTTAAGGATCCTCATTGAATAAAATCAAAGGATTTATTATTATTATTATTATTTAGTAAAAATTAAATCAGAGAAAATATTTAATATTAAAATAATTAAAGTTTAACATATATAATTAAAATAATCAATCCAAATAAATTTAAAAAATATTTCACAAATGAAAACATAAAATAATTGTGTATAAAACGTAAAATAAAATAAAGAATTTATTATGTAAGAAAGAAGAATAAGAATTTTGTTATTTTAAGAATAAGAATTTTATTTTTCACTTTTACACAATAAATTATTTTATTTTATTTTATATTAGACTTAATTATTTTAAATATATTGGGATGAGCTAATTTTAGGAATTTAATATTTTTTCAAAATATCTTACCGAACAAATAAAAGAATTAACAAATTAGCAAAAAATTCAATTCAAATAAATTTGGGTTCAAAGTACTTCTAAGCCGAAAGATGGAAGGAGGGGTTTTTGAACTAAAAACAAAGTTGGAGGGTATTTTTATACCAAAGGTAGAAGGAAGATATAGCCATTTCCAATAGGTTAGGGGTATTTTTGGCCATTTTTTCCGAAAATAATAATAACATATAAACATTATAAAAATGCACAAACGTTAAATTTCTTTCTGTTGGAGAGATGGAGGATGTTCCTGAGGATGGAAAAGGGGGATCTTGGAGTTTTTGTGTTGTTTTGCAATGGAGTTTGAGACTAATAAGACTGCTTATGTTATTGGAAGATGCTTTATTACTATTAGATTAGTGCTCAATTAGGAGGACTTCCAAAAAAGTAAAAATAAACATAAATGGAATTGCTCAATTATGAGTGACTAGTTGCAAAAATATAATAAAAATTAAGACAAAAAGCTTATAAGAATGATCGAATTATTCGAAAACAGCATGCCGGGAGTTAAATTAAAGATAAATCGCTCAGCTTTGAGAGATTTATCCATTTTGATTAGATAAAAAAAGAAATGGCCTTTGTGTATTTTAGTTTAAAAGTATGATCCTTTGTGTATTGATGCTTAACGTTAGACATATTAATTTATGTCATTATCAAATCATATTTTCTTACACGTTTAAACTTCTTCATTGTTACAAGTATTTTTTAAACCAGAACTTTCTTAATCCAGCTACATTGATCAATCATAATTCAATAGAACTTTCTTAATCCAGTTATTGAAGAGTATTTATTTTTTTACAACTTCATTTATTTTCTTTAAAAAATTAAGAATTATCTCATTCATAAAAAGGTGATGCCAGTGTATTGCTGGTGGTGGTGTTGCTGCTTCTATTGCTGCAGCTTCAAGGCTCAACCAAACTAACAGTACTGCTATAGCACAAAGGATAATGATAACAATCTCAAGGGTGACTTCTTTGTAGACGAATCAAATAGTTTTTCTTTATATTATTCAAATGGTAAGAATATTTGTTTCCATTAACACTAGTTCACCAATTTAGGAGCTTACAATTCAGTTGTTTTTACTATTTTAGCTCAAGTTACAACATAACACTTCCTTGAATACCTTATTTCTCAATCCAAAGCAGCATAATGTTACTCAAAAGTCATGTTTTCCACCTCTTCTCTAATGGAATCAAACAGCACAGTGGAAAGATAACGCTCTCCAGAACTAGCGATAATAATCTGCATAGAGAGTTAAA